ACTATTTCGGTCACTATTTTAATTAGTAACCGATTTTGCATATTTAGTGACCGAATTTTCGGTTACTATTTGGTGTTTTTCTTGTAGTGGTATGTGAGAGGAACATTGTCACTTGGCCTAATGTATACTAGGACGGATGATTATCGACTAGTAGGCTACTCGGATAGTGACTGGTGTTGAGATGTTGATGACCGGAAAAACACGTCTGGATATGTATTCTTCATGGGAAACACAAGCATTCACCTGGCTTTCAAAAAGCGGCTCATTGTAACGTTGTCAACTTGTGAAGCCGAGTACGTTGCAAGCATCCTAGAGTGTCTCGTCATGCAGTTTGGCTTAGAAACCTTCTAAGCAAGCTGGAGTTGAAGCAAGAAAGAGGGACTGTGATTCGAGTTGATAACAAGTCGGTCATTGAATTGACAAAGAATCCAGTCAATCATGAGAGAAGCAAACATATTGATGTTCGGTTTCACTTCATCCGAGAACAAGTGAAAGAAGGAAATGTGAAGTTAGAGCACGTCGGAACCCGAACACAAGCTGCAGATATGTTCACAAAGCCACTGTCAACCACTCTGTTCGAGAACAACAAGAAGATGCTTGGAATGAAGGACAAGAAAAGCATTTAAGTTTATGGGGGGATTTTGTTAGGTAAACATTAAATGCATGTAGTTGAGAGGTAGTGGTTATAGAGGTAGTAGTTGAGAGGTAGTTGTTGTATTGAATGTATGTAGTTGAAAGGTAGTAGTTGTATTAAATGCATGTAGTTGAGAGGCCATATCCAAAAGGCCTATAAATTGACCATGCATCACTCATTACAAATACATCAAGTGATAATATATAGAGTGCTTTATTTAGATACTTGTTTGTCTACATAATAGAACCAATTGACCACACTCCATTCTATGATGATAGAGCCAATTGACCACACTCCATTCTATATGATGATGGTGGGAGGATTAACTTTCCATTTTATTGGACTCGAGAACCACTACGATACTAGGGTTGCCCGAGATCCGAGATGACTGCAAAAAAATGTTTGAATGCTAGAAATTTTGGACAAGTTGCAACGAAGATTGCCTACCCAAAAACTTCTTAGAACATCAATGATGTGTGCTTCAAGAGCACACTGATGGTTTCAACAAAGCCGTCAAAGAAACTCATTTTTTTGTTGACCAAGGTACCGCGATTAAAGAAGGAAATTTTGATGTTAAGCACGATATATATACAATGATGCGCTCTGCAACAACGATGAGATTGCAGATGATGAAATTTTGTTGTAAGGGTCAAAGAGCCATCCACAGTTGATACTATTTTTTCTATTAATGTTTGAGCAAGCCTTGTGAGTTTCTATGTTTTGCAATGGTCATGACCATATAGGTTGTAGGACATTTTGCATGCATGGCTGAGATCATTTTATTTTTTGTGTAATCTCAGTTTGGTTACGAAAAACAAAGTGTCCAAAGCTAAGATCTTGAGGGATCACTTTCGGTTTTAATGAAATGTCCTTGATTAAGTATATGTATGAAACATGAAGTGTGAAATAGTAACTTTATTCATTGTGCCTTATCAAAACCTCCTCAGTCAAAATCCTCCTTGGAAAAAGCAACCAGTGGTAAGAAAGACTACACTCATGTCTTAACTAAAATAAAATTTTAACAAAGATGTGTTCCAAGGTTGCGATCTAACCTTTCTGGATAGCTCTTCCAATCTATAAGCACCATTGTCCAAACATATCATAACGTAGTATGTCCCTCCTAGTTGAATAAGAACTTTCCATCTGAGCGGCATTTTCTTGCATTACTTCTTGCCCTTAATACTAAATCTCCTCGATGAAAACATAGTTGAGTTTAACGTGTTATCAAAATATGTTATCTATAATTTTAATCCATGGCTTATATATATTGAAAATAATATTTTTTTTATTTTTATAAATTTTTTTCATTTTTTTTCGAGTATTAATTATATATATATATATATATATAATAAAAATTAAAATATTATCTATGTCTTTTAATTAGTTAAATTATAGTTTGTATCTATTCCCATACGGTCGAGAACATCCTAGTATCCTAAAAAACGTGTCTTAATCTTCTTTCCAATCCTTCACGTAGACTCCTTCATGTAGGCTCTTTTGCATTTTAGATCCGACTTCTTCATGTTTGTTCCAATTGAGAGGGGGTGTCTAAAATAACATTCTAACGCCTAATAGTAAGTAAAATAAAATATGATACAATAAATGTGAGTAATTAATTATTAGTGTCTATGTCATAACATCACTATTTATACAGTTTGAGATGGGCTTCTGATGGGCCCTAGTTGAAGCCCTATATTTCCTTCGTTTTGTATTTAACCTTAATTATTCGGTTACCTTCCATTCCATAGGATTTGTGTGTTATACATTAGCCTCCCCACCCCAACTTGAGCCCTATACGGGAGTTGTTCCAAAAGAAATAAAAAGGGATGAGTTCTAGTTGCGTCAGAGGCGGACATGGTGATTTGTAGAACCTCTTCATCATCCTCTATTTTAAATTTTCTTAACATTTTTATTTCTTAAATTTCATATACTTATTTTGCACTTTTTTGTAGATCACTTTATGCATCTCTTTTTTTGAAGACCACCGTATCTTTTTGGTGGAAAAGAAGATTTGAAGAGATGGTTGTATGAGCAGCCCAATAGTGTAGGGCACTCCTTTTTCAAGTCCTACATATCTTTTATGAGAGGAAGAAGTTTGGGATGCGGGATTGGTGGACTTGAGACAACCTAAAAGGAAGCACACTTTTTTTCATGTTCTCCACACCTTTAGAGGTATTTTTAGTGGACTAAGACGAATTTAACATATTTAAACGATGGAAACTCTTAGTCTTTAGGTTTATATTTACGTTAAGTTTATGTCTCATTTTGTAATTTCATCTAAGTTTCTTTTCCAAAAACTGATAAATAAAAGGTTTTCCCTCATGTAATTAAGTGGAACATTTTATGACAAGTGTGTGAGATTTTTTAGAGTGTCTCATATCTTTGAATGTCTTATCTTGAACCTTAGTTCAAGTGGCAACAACCACCACTTATCTAGGGTGGTTCTTCTCCTAATAGCGTGCAAACACTCCACATCATACTTCTCTTTATCTTCTTTATTTTTTTCATATTATTTATGTACATAAGGGACTGATTTATTTTTCCAGCTATTATTTTTATTCTTTTTTAGTTTCTTTCCATCTCCTCTCGACCTCTTCTTCGTATTTAGGTAAGCAATTATTTTTATGTCCTGTAAAAAATTTTCTTAGATTTACTTATTTTATTACTTAAAATTTTTTGCACCTTATGATTTTGTACATTATTTTATTATATATCAAGAATTAAACCTAAAAGAAAGAAAATTTCATTTTCATTTCATCATTTAGGATATATACCAGTCTCTTAGGCTCGATAACAATGAAGAAGGACAAAGAGCCTATAATCAAAATTGAGAACAATTCATCATAACATTACGGAAGTATCATTTTGATGAAGGGTCATTTCCTTTTATAGGGAAAACTTTTGTGCCCCCAAGAGTAAAGGGTGTGCCTTGGTGGAAGCACCCGTGATTGGACATCAAGTTATGATGAATGTTCCATCATGATTGATCGCTGGGATTTGATCGAGATGACGTAGAAGAGCAACACTTCAGTTTTGGTGCCCATAGACAATGCTTATAAAAAGGGAGCGAGGTTGCATTGAATCAATCATCTTGTCACGACGCTAACACCGGATTTGTTTGCTGATAGATCATGCAAAAAGTCTGCCAATGACCTAGATGAATTAAGACAAAGGACAACCAGATTTATGTAGTTGGAGGAACTTTGAAAAGATTGGAAGGTCATGGAGTTTGCATGGAAAGTTCACCCTTCTACTTCTCAAGCTTTGGACATATTTGGGCATTCTCCTATTTTAACGCTTCCATCTCTTCTATACTTCACTTCTAAAAATTCTATAATTCCTTCATTTGTTATATCAATAAGATCATTTCTTCTAGGTGATTCTCTTTACCATTTGGCTGTGATATTTGCTTTTTGGTATTAATCATGTTTCTTGTCGATACCATTTGATCTTAAAAGGTGTTATTCGATCTGATAATAAGCATCAAATATGTTCCTATAAGACCAAAAACATTTTAATGCCCTAAGAAACATGTCTCAATCTTATTTTCAATCCTTCTCATGAACTCCTTCGTATAGCTCTCTCGCACTTCGAATCAAATTTCTTCCCGTATGTTTCAATTAAGAAGGAAAGTATTTGAAAAAGACATTTTAACACACAAATCAATTATTAATATCTACATTAGAAATATCACTGTTTATATCATTTAAAATGAGTTTCTCACCTGATAGGCCCTTCTCCAGATCCCATATTTTTTCCATTTTATATTTAATCTTAATAATACTTATTAAAAAAATAAATATAATATTTGTTAAAAATTATCAAATAAATTGGTAATATTAAATACTATTTTTCAATTTTATTTTTTAATGAATGTTTAAACGTGAATTATCATGTTTAACATAGCAAACTTCTGTATTAATTATTATTATTATTATTATTATTATTATTTGTTAATTGATATAAAAATACCGATAGGCTTTTTTATTTTATTTATGGGGAGCTAATTCGACCATTTTGTAAAGATTGTTAGTTCCAATTTTTTTATATTTGAAGTCATTTAATAATTTTATTGGTAACTCACGCATTTTTTTATTTACTGATTTATTTAAAATTTTTTTATGGTAACTCACGCATTTTCAAATTCAACGTGAGTTGAATTTAACATAACAAATATAATCCGTTTAATCAAATTTCAAACCGCAAGCATTAATAGTGGCTTTACTGCACGATATCTCAAAACTTACAAATTACAAGATATTTCAAACTAAAGAGTGAGAAAACAGATCAAAGAATTCTTGCATTTCTATAAATTCACTAACTTCTTCACAGACCAGTGATCAAACTACATTCTCAGTAGCCATCAATGGAGGTCACAACTCACATAGCAATAGTTTCAGTCCCAGTATATAGTCATCTACGTTCAATTCTTGAATTCTCCAAGAGACTAGTTCATCTCCATCATGATACTCGTGTCACATGCATTAACCCTACGTTTGGTTCACCCTGCAACAACACCAAAGCCCTTTTTGATTCTCTTCCCTTAACCATAAACCACATGTTTCTACCACCAATTAACTTGGAGGACCTTCCACATGACACTCACCCTGCAATCCAAGTTCAAATCACCATCTCTCGTGCGCTACCTCTAATCTATGATGCATTGAAGGCATTGCATGCTAGCTCAAGGCTTGTTGCAATCGTTTCTGATGGTTTGATAACACAAGTGTTACCCTTTGGCAAAGAACTCAATGTCTTGTCCTACACATATTTTCCATCCACAGCAATGTTACTATCACTTTGTTTGTATTCTTCCATGCTAGACAAGACAATATCTTGTGAGTACAGAGACCTATCAGAACCTGTACAAATCCCTGGCTGCATACCGATTCATGGGACTGATCTTCCAGACCCTCTTCAAGATCGATCAGGCGTAGCATATAAGCAATTTCTTGAAGGTAATGAAAGCTTCAATCCATTTTTATTTTCTTTTTTCGTAACCAGATTCCTCAAGTTCTTTTTTGATGAAAATAGTCCTAGTTAATCTCTGACTATTTTATGGGAATATTTTTGTAATTTTTTTATAAAAATTGTAAGAGATAAGTTTCCTACAAATTTAAATAATTTTTTAAAAACAATTCAACAAAAATAACTAATATTTTAGTATGAAAGGACACAAGATCAAAATTTTCAATTTACGAAATTTAATAACACTAGACTATATATCATGTTGATATTATAATTGGGTCATGGTGGTGTTAGATCAATGATATCTTCTTGTCAGACTTTAAGATATTTTAAGGCTTTCAACCTTTTGAGTTAGGAGACTAATTCTAAATGTGTTTACAACATTTTTTCAGGTAATGAAAGATTCTATTTAGCTGATGGTATATTGGTTAACAACTTTTTTGAGATGGAAGAAAGAACCATAAGAGCCTTACAACAAGAAGAGGAGAGAGGAATCCCTTGTGTTTATGCAATAGGACCCTTTGTGCAAGAGGAGTCATGCAAAGAGGGAAGTAGTGACATAGAATGTTTGAGATGGTTGGACAAGCAACAACACAGTTCTGTCTTGTATGTTTCCTTTGGAAGTGGTGGCACACTTTATCATGAGCAAATAAACGAGCTTGCTTGGGGATTGGAATTGAGTTGTCAAAAGTTCTTGTGGGTGTTAAGACCTCCTAACAAGTTTGGCATTATTGCAGACATTGGAGCTAAAAATGAAGATCCTTTTGAATTTCTACCAAATGGGTTTTTGAAGAGAACAGAAGGGCATGGTTTGGTGGTTCCTTATTGGGCATCCCAAGTTGAAATCCTTGCTCATGGTGCAATTGGGGGATTCCTATGCCATTGTGGTTGGAACTCCACACTTGAAGCTGTTGTGCATGGGATTCCACTGATTGCATGGCCACTCTTTGCAGAGCAAAAGATGAATGCGGTTTTACTGACTAATGATTTGAGAGTGGCTCTTAGGCCTAATGTAAATGAGAATGGGATAGTGGAAAGGGAAGAAATATGTGGGGTCATAAGGAATCTAATGGTGGGAGAAGAGGGTAAGAGAATTCGTCAAAGAATGAAAATTTTGAAAGATGTAGCTGTTGATGCTCTGAAGGATGATGGATCTTCAACAGTGACCCTTACACAATTGGCACTAAAATGGAAAAGTTTAAGTTTGGGAGATGCATAATGTGATTAAAACTTCTGCATAATTGCTTCAACCTATACTAACTTTACCTAATTTGTCTCAAATAAAAATGGGGTTAAACAACCCCATTGAAGATGGTTGTTGAAATCAAGAAAATTGTACCAATCATATTGAGTTTCATGACTAATAGGTTTCAATAGAGTTGTTTAATCCTATTTTTATTTGAGATATATCACACAATCTCACTTATTTTAGCGAAAAGATATCCATGTGTCTGGTATAATTTTTTATTTTTAAGAATTAAAATTGTTGCTTATTTAATTATTTCTTTTTTTTATAAAGATAAATTATGTGTGTGAGTTTAAGAATTAAAATAAAACGGTGAAAATAAAGAGTGAAATTATTTTTCTTTTCTAAAAGTTTATTTTATCTTAATTTTGACCAAGGGATTTATTGGTCATTTAACAAAAAAATTGTCTCAATTAAATTCTAATAATATTAAAAAATGTTATTAATTATATGGACTAGTTTCATTTTCTGAAATATTCATCAATACTCATTTGTTCCTTTTTATTTTCTTTTTAATAGATACTTTTTCTTATAAAGTATTCTATTTTATCTATCTTTTTATTTATGCATTACATCAAATACTTATATTTAAATTAATTGAAAATTAAATAGAAAATGAATATTTGATTGGAAAAAATAATACTATCTTCATCTTTAAAATAACAAATAAATATAAACCAACTTCCGCAAATTCCACAATGAAAAATAAAAGGTATGACACATTTACTCTGTCTCAATATTTATCAATTAAAGAGGGTTAAAAAAACACCATTTATTAAAAATTACTAAAAATTATAAAATCATGAGAAATTCATTAAATATCATAAAAAGTATATAAAAATAATATTTTTAATAAATTTAACTAGTAAAAAAAATAGTTTATTCAAAAGAGTATCACTACAAATAAAAAAATAGTGTTGATGACATTTATCTAGAAATGAAATTATCTTTTTAAACTATATTCCTGATATATTATTATACTTTACAATAGGAAACAATACCCCTATATGCATATGAAAAACGTGAGTTCGCCGTATATAAAACAAAAACTTGTCGGCAAAAAATAATAATAATAATAATAATAATAACTTTTTTTACTCCTAAAATTTAACGTAATTCTGTTTTTTTTTATCAAATTAAAGAAAAATACTTTAATTCTTCAAATTAATTTAAAAAAATATGATTTTAATTTCTAAATATAAATTTGAGGGACTAAAATAACTTTTTTTCCTTATAATATTATATTTAAGAACTGAAATTATATTTATTAAATTTAATTTTTTAACTTAAGAGATTACAAATATAATTAAGGTTAATAATAATAACAAACGCTTCCACTTAGCCTCTATATATATAGCCATGTACAAATACAGAAAACATTTTAATTATTTTATCAAATACTGTAGTTATGTTAAGCTACGCATATATTCATTTTTAATGTATTATATAATTTTCTTTAAAATTATTTATATTCACACTTTATTTTAAAATATTATTAAATTTTAACAGAAGAAATATATTTTAAAATTAATTCAATGGATCCTTCCATCATAACTTATGGATCAAAATTAATTCAACTATTTTTTATTCAAATAATTGTTTTAAAATGAGATATTTAAGTTTTGTTTTACAACTTAATTTTTAAAATTTTTAAAACTAAAATATTACTTTTATAGATATGAGAACTAATGCGAAAGCTGGTAGTGTTGTAATTAGATAATTAACATCGAAAATCGTGGTTTGATATTTTAATTATTCTACCGCAACTTTTTGTAATTATTATTAGTTTTTGATATTGATAGTATTGTTGAGTTTATTTCTCGATCTTAGTTTATGAAAACGATATCGTTTTTAGTGTCATTATTATTCCTATTTCTCCAGCTATGTCAGGGCTAAAGAATCATAAAATGAGTGACATTTAAATTTCTAAATATTCACTCTCGTGACGTATAGTATATATAAGATTCCAGTTCGTGTATAGAATCAAATAAATTACGATGAATCAAAATTTTAAGATTGATAATTTTAATTTAATAAATTTTAGTTTAATAGTTTTTATCTTAATAAATGAAATAATAAATTTATTTATTTCAAATGGATAGATTCTTTTTTGAAGAACTAATATATATATATATATATATATATATATATATATATATATATATATATATATATATATATATATATATATATGTTGGAAAATTAATAATAATAATAATAATAATAATAATCCTGATTTTGATTCTAACAATCAAACATAAACATAATCCCATACTGATAAGCATGTGTAAACTCGAATGCGAAAACGCACTCGAATTAGCCATAACGATGATGTCTTTGTAAAGCACTATATTGATCTTATGGTCTTCCACCGAAGAAGCACTCGTATTTTCCTCTTGATTTACTCTCTTGATGGGGATAGAGAGAAAGGAACGGGATCATAACTCACGTTCGTCTTTGTGCTTCTCGAAGGGGACCATGACCCTTTAGATAACCAGAATTAGGTTAATTACTTAAGTTTTAGTATTTCCAATTTGGCCCCTCATCAAATTAGAAATTGCTCTATGGTCTCTACACAATTTATTTTCATGACATATGCTTTTAACCAAAACTTTAATTTAGTCAGATCACTTTATTATTTGGCTTAATAAATAATGACCCTAACACATTTAAATATGTATCATATATATACATGACCCAAAATTTGCCAACAATCTCCCACTTGGTCACAAATATATATGTCTTTACAACCTTACAAATGTGTTAGACTTTATGAGCTCAAAATTGTCATTATATTCCTTTAGCATATTCCAAAAGTCCTGTCCATTAATCATATCGGGATATAGAACCGCATCAGACTTTTCATTGCATCATCGCAACTAAAACCAACAAGATTACTCATCCCGACATAACCAAATGACATGGATTCATCATGAAATGTGTAGCATGAAAAATTACGTGAAGGTGATCTGTACACGTCTATTTTCAACTGGTCCAAACTTTAACTTATCGAGATCGATACAATAACCTTAATGTACAAAGTGTAATGAATGAACAAGAAAACCGCATATCTATAGATAACCAAATATGTCCAAAAAACAATGTATACATATATAAAATTAAACATAGAACATAAAATATATGAAAATGACTAACTCCCACTAAACCACAAATTCCTCAAACTGTAAAACACCCATGTGAGCAACATGCTCATGAAAGACCTTGGGCGGAAGTCCTTTAGTTAGAGGATCTGCTATCATGGAGTTTGTCCCTAAATGTTCTATGGAAATCTGTCCACTTTGTACTCTTTCCTTAACAACACAGCTGATTTATTGTCACAATATAACTTAAGTGGTCTTTCAATGCCTTTCACAATTTGCAGCCCTATGACAAAATTTATCAGCCATATTCCATGATTTGATGCCTCATAGCAAGTTACAAATTCTTGACATCCTACAAAATCTGAGTCAGAAAACCCAGTGATCTCCAACTGGTCTGACCTCCTATATGTGAGCATATAATCTTTTGTTCTCTTTAAATATCTTATGACCCTTTTTGCTGCTTTTCAATGGTCTATTCCTGGATTGCTTAAATATCTTCCTAGAACCCCAACTATATATGCTATGTCTGGATGCGTACATACTTGGGCATAGATCAAACTCCCTACAAGTGATGCATAGGGAATCTTTTGCATTTCCTCAATTTCCAAATTCCCTTTGGGCACTGATTGAGACTAAACTTGTCTCCCTTTAAACTTGTGATACATACAATCATCAACAATATTCATCTTGAAGCCAAATGAGTTTCATACCTTCTGGTAATGGGACAAGTTCCCAATAACCTTATTGTCTTGCATGGACTTATACTTATCCTATTGTTTCAATCCACTTTTGAGATTTAGAACCTTATATAGCTTGACGGAAGTTAACTGGGTCATCTTCCATTATATCATTATTTTCCTCATGTTCCTGAAGAAATACCATGTAATCATCCGAAATAGCACTTCTTCTTTCTCTAGTGGATCTCTGCAAAGTTATTAGCTCATGATACACAGGTTCTTGAGGATCTTGAGTTTGTTCTTCATGAACAACCAAATCATCTTGAGTAAGGGGTTCATCAACAATGCCTTGTGGAGGTTCCGAACTTACTTTATCAAAAGTAACTGTTTGAATCGGTTCTGGAATTGTTACCGATTCTTCCTCTAAGACAAAGTTCCTGATTTTATTCTTCCCCCCAAACTCAATATCCTCAAAAAACGTAGCAGTTCCCGTCTCAAAAATTGTCTTTAATGTGGGATCATAAAATTTATATCCCTTGGATCTTTCAGCATAACCAATAAAATAACTACTTACTCGTTCGGGAGTCCAATTTCTTTTCATTTGGCTTATAAGGCCTTGCCTCAGCTGGACAACCCCACACATGGAAATGCTTCGGACTAGGTCGTCGCCTGATCCAAAGCTCATAAGATGTTTTGGTAGTTGCTTTAGTTGGTACTCGTTTAGAATATAAGTTGTCATATTTAGTGTCTCTCCCCAAAGTGATTCCGATGAAGGTGGAATGACAAATCATACTCTCTACCATATCTTTAAGAGTGTAACACAAGCCCAAACGTTACAATTTGATGTTACCTCGAGCACTTGTGCCATAATGCACTTGAGTGAGTATTTTCAATTTTACGTTTAGTACCACATGATTCTCGTATTAAGGGTTTCATTATAGGTGGCCACAATATCAAGTAAATATTGATTATCATAAATTAAAAGTGAACCAGTTCCAACAATATCCGAATTAAAAGACAAACTGAACTTATTGTTTCCAAATGAACATAAATAACCTAATTTGTCCAAATAAGAAACTGAAACCAAATTTCGTCTAAATGACTGGCATAACAAAAGTGTCTTTCAAATCCAAATAAAAAATCGAGTACTTAATAATAATTTAAAATGACTTATAGCTTCCACCTCTACCGATTTGTCATCTCCAACATAAATTCATCTTTCAGAATCAATTGGCTTCCGGTAGCTTAGGCAACCCTTTATAGAAACACCGATGTTAGTAGTTGCACCTGAGTCTAACCACCAAGTGTTACTAGGTATCGACGCTAAATTGACTTCGTAACGCACCAAAGTAGGAAACATACTTTTGAGGATCGGAACATAATTTAAATTGGCAGATACGTAAGCAATTGTAGACTGGATTAGAACAAAAGAAATAAACTAATTATGCTCACATTATATAAAAAAAATTATAAATAAAATATTCAATTTTTGGTAGTTTAATATTTTTTGTGAGCAAATTGAGTCAAGAAGTCACCAAAGTAACTTCTCTTGAATTGGGCAGTTCATGAAAAATATTGAATGTTAGTGTTTGTGTATATTCATGCGAGTATTAGTCGGCCCAAAGGAAGATTAATATTTGGCCGAATTGCATACACACTTGTAATGATAAACATGTGATAATTATAATGATCAAACATATATCTATAATCCCATACTGAAAACATGTTATATAAACTAAATGCAAAAGCGTACCTGATTTGACCATAATGACGATATCTGTATTGATCTTATGGTCTTCCACCTGAAGAGCACCTGTATTTCCCTCTTGATTTACTCTCTTGATGGGGATAGAGAGAAAGGAACTGGACCTGTAATCTACGCTCGTCTTTGTGCTTCTCGAAGGGGACCATGACCCTTTAGATAACCGGAATTAGGTTAATTACTTAAGTTTTAGTATTTCCAATTTGGCTCCTCATCAAATTAGAAATTGCTCTATGGTCTCTACACAATTTATTTTCATGACATATGCTTTTAACCAAAACTTTAATTTAGTCAGATCACTTTATTATTTGGCTTAATAAATAATGACCCTAACACATTTAAATATGTATCATATATATACATGACCCAAAATTTGCCAACAATATATATATATATTTGGTTTCACCCAATACTTTTAGAAAAAACAATTATAAAATGAACCGTTTTTTTATATGTAAAGAGTGTTATATTAACATATTATGTAAAATACATACTACTAAAAATTCTCATTTTTTATGGGAATATTTTTGCAAAATTTTGGTAAAAATTGCAAGAAATAAGTTTTCTATAAATTTAAACAATTTTTTACAAGAAAATTAACAAAAAAAAACTAATTTTCTAGTAGTGACATTTTATATTAGTTAAAAGTAATTGAAATTTACAACATAAAAAAAATTATCAAAATAAAAAAATTTAATAAAATTTTATGTTTTCAATAAATTTCATTAAAAAAAATATACGTAAATAAAATAAAATACATTGTTAGTATTAATCTGATTTTATTTTTTTCAAAATAACTGCCGTTTTAACTTCAGAAAAATCAAAATTAAATTATATTTTTAGTTTTAATGAAATGATAATTAATTTTATTTTAAAATAATCAGATATTTTGTATTTATAACATATAAAAATAATACTTCATCAAACAATATATAGAAAAATAAGAAGTAAAGTTTAAATTGCATATTGACAAGAATCTCTCTTTCGCTGAAACTTCTGAAATGGTGGGCACACGTGTTTAAAGTACGTAATAGTTTCTTCCAAACCATAATAATGAATTATAAAAGCCACCACCTACCCTTCATGAAATCGACAAACCTTCTATAAAGTGACACGTGTTACACGTTTCGCCATTGTTATCTTCCGTATTCTGAACACCATTACACAAAATATTGGTCTCTGGTTCTTCCACCTTCTCCACAAGTTCTTCCCATGGAGTCATCACCAAGAACAACCCACATAGTCATAGTTTCAGTCCCTGCTTTCAGCCACCAAGTCTCGATCCTTGAGTTCGCAAAACGACTTCTCCATCTCCAAGCCAACACCTTCCATGTCACATGCATCATTCCCACACTCTCTTCTTCACCTTCCACCTCCAAACCCTTCTTCTTCCAGTCCCTCCCTCAAAACATTCGCTGCATTTTCCTCCCCTCAGTGAACTTCCAAGACCTAGACAACAATGGGGTCTCCGTGGAAGTCCAGCTACAGCTCTCAGTCTCTCGTGCCATGCCCTCCGTGAGAGAAAACCTAATATCACTCTCCAACACCACTGAAATCACTGCTCTCATTGCTGATGCCATGTTTCCTGAGGCTCTAGAGTTTGGTAAGAAACTCAACATCTTGTCCTACGTGTACTTCCCTTGCTCCATCATGACGTTGTCCATTTTCTTTCATTCTCAAAACTTGGATGAAGAGGTTTCATGTGAGTACAAAGATCACCCTGGTTTGCTACAGATTCCTGGTTGCATTTCTATTCGTGGCATAGATCTTCCAGACAGTGTGCAAGACCGAGGAAGTCTGGCGTACAAGCTTTTCCTTCAACGTAGTAAACAATATCTTAATGCTCATGATGGTATACTGGTGAATAGCTTCATGGAAATGGAAGAAGAAGCAACAAAAGCAATATCCCAACATGGTCATGGTGATTGCCATTACCCTCCTGTGTATTCAATTGGCCCCATTACACAAAGTGGGTCCAGTGGTTCAAAAAGTGGGTGTGAGTGTTTATTGTGGTTGGATAAACAGAAACCTAATTCGGTTACCTATGTGTCTTTTGGAAGTGGTGGCACACTTTCCCAAGAGCAGATCAATGAACTTGCATTAGGGTTGGAGTTGAGTAAGCACAAGTTTTTGTGGGCTAATTTCAGAGCACCAAACGATAAAACAAGCGCTACTTATTTTAGTAGTGATGGGTGTTTGGTGGATGATCCTTTGCATTTTTTACCTTTGGGGTTCCTAGAGAGAACCAAGGGGCAGGGTTTAGTGATGTGTGAGTGGGCTCCACAAGTGGAAGTGCTTGGTCACAAGGCAATTGGTGCATTTTTGAGCCACTGTGGTTGGAATTCGATTTTGGAGAGTGTGGTGCATGGAGTGCCAATGATAGCATGGCCTTTGTTTGCTGAACAAAGAACCAATGCAGCTTTGGTGACTGATGGATTGAAAGTTGCTTTGAGACCAAATGTCACCAGTGGGAATGGTGTGATGGTGAAGAAGGAAGAAGTTGTTAAGCTCATAAAGGCTCTCATGGAGGGGTTGGAGGGTGAAGAAATTCGTAGGAAAGTGAAGGAAGTGAAGAAGTTTGCTAATTGTGCTATGATGGAAGATGGGTCCTCCACAAGGACAATATCAAAGTTGGCACAAAAGTGGAAAAGTTTGGGAAAATCTTTCTAAAATATTCATCGTGGTTGTTTCAACTACTGAATCTATATGCATTGATTCCTCCCTCTTGGATTGTTTCAAGGAGATGTGAAATCAAATATTTATGATAAAGCTTATTATTAGATCTCATTTTGTATTAGCTTCAGATAAAGTTATCTGTTGTTTACTAGTTTTGTTATTTCATATTAAATTTTACATAGTTTTATTTCATAAAAAATCTTCTACGTTTGTAATTTTGTTTTTTTTTCGTCCATTTTTAATATAGTTATATATGTTTACTTCTAGTATATATTTTTAACATAATAATACTTCTAGTATACAAAAGTCTAATGTCATTTTAAAATAATAATCAAACTATTTTAAATCGTTATGAATATATATAGGTTTGATTATAATTTTATCTTTATATTTTATAAAATCTATAAATTTGGTCCATAATTTTTTCCTTTACAGTTTGAATTCCTTGTTTTTTTTTTCTTCGAAGTGTAATCATTATGGGATAAATATTTCCTATGAATAGTATAATAATAATAATAAAATATAATATAATTTTGTAAGTAACTGGATTCCTTTCACCATTATTAAATGCTTCGTTTACATGGACAAATTTGGAGGACCACATGGCTTTTAATTAATGTCAGATGTAAAGTACGAAAATTGCTTGTTGATGGAAAAGGAATATGGGGACAGCTAAGCATCAATTTACACTTTTTTTTTTAATGAAAATCAAGCTTACTTTCCTTGAACTACTTCTTTTCTCACCTAACTAAGTCGGGTAATTTATTTTTTAAGTTATTTTGTACACTTTTTATATAGAAATTTATTATAAAACAGCTGGAACCAAATATATAAGATAAAAATATAAAATAAAGAAAGTAAAATAAGAAAATTTCAAATATTTAATAATAATTTTAACAAAATTTTAACAGTTCACCTGTAGGTAAACGCACGTGCTAATGGTGCTAATATGAAAAATTATGGTGGTAGTTAGATTTGTGAATTAAATTGCCGTAACATTTTGTTTTTTATTTTACATTGCTGCAAATTGTGAATCAAATTTAGTTTTTGCTGTATTAAATTGTGTCCTATTTAACTTACTCGTAAGAAGAGTTTGCACATCAAATTATATTGTGTCGTATTTTTTTTTTGTAGCAGCACAAGTTTAAGGTTGTAACTATGAGCAATTGAAGACGTAGCTATCAAATGTTGATGTAAAAAGGATGATAATCATATTTAAAATGTTAAAATCAGTAAGAAACAATGAATGAAAGAAACATTTTAAATAAACACAAATTGGAGATTAGCATTATGAAATAATGTTAGTGGGGGAGGGGACAAAGACGATATGTAACTTAGCATTTATATATATCACATATGAGCAGGTAAATTGTTCAAAAAATTTCAGCCCATCTAGTTTTTATTTGCTCAGTGTACAAATTATTTGTTTCCCTTCATATGATCTTATTCATTAAATTATTAAAACAAAAGTTGAAATTAAGATTACGAAGAAACAAATATTAGCATGAATTATGCTCGAGAACAATAAACAAATGCAAGAATAATTATCCTCCTTCATTCTTTCTCTCTTTTCCTTTTTCATTTGTTTTTCACCGCCCCTTAACTTCTTGTATACTTGTAAATTGATTTACTTTTCATCTTTTCTTAATCTCCACATTAAATCCTATCCTTATCGCTTCCTACGAAGAGATAAAACCCCTTTTTCCCCATATTATAATTTTGTTATATGATTTTTTTAAATAATATTTTTATAATAATTTAAATATATTTTTTATAAATAATCTTTAAATTACTTAAAAATATTATAATTTAATACATTGTATTTAAAAAATTTACATGATAAAATTTTACGCATTACATTTTTTCTTTACAAAACTTTCATCCTTCGAAATTTTATTAATTAAAATAAATAAGGGTAATTTTCTCTTATTTTAAATTTTTTATAATTTTCACGTAGCATCTCTAATTATTTTCTTTCAAATGATTTTTACTAGTGGAATTTTTCTACCTTTTAGCTTCTTGTCTATAATTTGTATAAACATTGATTCAAATATAAGGTTATCTTTTAATTGTATTGTATCGCACATCATAACATGAGACCGGTCAAAAAAGAAATTTTTTTAATTGAGACATATGGAAGACATTGTGAAGATTAAAAAGAAAATGAGGTAAATAAACTTGATAAGCAACCAAACTTATTCTTTTGAGAAATTGCTAAGGACCAATAAATTGGGGAGTGAGTTTATTTGACTTCATCACTCTACTAATTTCAGTTGTAGGTGTGACTTGCAAGAATATGAAAGCAATGAGGAGGAGATTGATGGAAATGTCCCTACATTCCCAAGAGATGATTTTGATATGATTCAAGTTAACTACATTCAAGTCAACATCATTCAAGATGAATTAAGGACAAACTGAATTTATGACATTGGTGAAAATGTGAAACATTTCCCGACATGCCCAAGAAATGTTTTTGATAAAGATGCTGATTCAAGCAAACCCAAGATGATTCCTGAAGACTAGATAGAGTCTTAGAATACTGGATATAGAGATACAAGTTGATGACGTAATATTATGCATAAGCCTCCAAAGCACAAGTGTGATAAAATTCATAACATGATATTTTTCTCAGTCATAATCAATTATGATGCATCAGAAATGGAAAAATGATTTTCTCTGTCATAATTGATTATACTGGTAATACAATTAATTATGACAATTCAAATTTGAAAAATATATCTGTTTTAAAGAATAAATGTTTTTTAATACATCCTGATTTTCTCTATGATATTATTAATATCCAACGGCCATTTTCTGATGTTATTTTTCTATTTAATTAAGGTTTGATGAAAAATAAAAAACACACAATTACAAAATTCGAAAATACAATTTACGTTCAATCAGTTTTGAGAAAAGAATTCTGAGCAAGGCAACAGAGATATTTTACACCTTCTGAGAAAACCCTCTTCTCTACTGTCTTCTGTTCTTTCATTGTTAATCACACTTGTTTTTGGAGATTAGCATTCTACAAGCTTCTACAATTTGTTGTCTCCATTACCCAGGTGTGTCTGTTCTTATTTTTATTACCTTCATCCTTTGTGTATTTGTAGCAAAGAAGGTGTTTTCATCCTTTGATTTGTTCAAAGGAGGTTTTCATCCCTAGTGTGATTCTAGGGAGGTGTTCATCCTTAGTGGGATTCTAAGGAGATTTTTTTTCATCCTTAGTGGGATTCTAAGGAGATGTTTTTTCATCCTTTGATTTGTTCAGAGAAGGTGTTCATCCCTAGTGGGATTCTAGGGAGGTGTTCATCCTTAGTGGGTTTCTAAGGAAGTGATTGTCTTTTTAATTAGTTTACTTTTTACTGGTTCTTCTGCTGAGTTGATTGTAATTTGTAAACTGAATTTGAAAGATAATGAATTGGAAGTCACTATTGTGTTAAGAGTTGACTGGGAACTGGATGTAGGGTTGGCTATACCCGAACCACAAAAATATTTTTTTAAGATCTTGATACACTTTTGTTATGCTTGGATGTATGCTCAATTTGTTCTTAGGTGGTTCTTCTAAAATGAACATCTTAATCTCTATGTTATAATGAATAAATATCCTATCATTAAATCTCAAAATTGTAACTTATCTATGCCAATTTTTTTTTATTCTTTTGTCCAATTAACTTCTTTTTCTTTAAAATGAATTCATCATCTTATGGATATACCTTTGTAAGTCATTAGTAATATGAATTGAGTTTAATTTCATTCTATCATTATAAGTGACAAACTCATGTCTCTGAATTTTTCTACCAACTCATATCCTGAATCATCAATGAGGAGACATGTAAGAAGTTTTTCATTCATCTTGTCCGTCTCTTATTGAAATCCTCTTGATCAAATAAGTATGTAAGACTCTTATGATCACTAAAATCCTCAAACTTAGCACAATACACATAATGTCTTCATATTTTGAATGCAAAAACAATGTCGACTAGTTATAAATCATGAGTTGGGTAATTTTTCTCCTGTGCTCTTAATTGCTAATAAGCATATGCTACTATCCTTTTATCTTGCATAAGAACACATCTTAATCCCATTTTGGAGACATCACAAAATATATAAAAAAAAATGTCCAATAAGATTAGGTCATGCTAAGACAAAGGAAGTAGTTAATCTCTTTTTGAGTTCTTGAAAACTATTTTCACATATTTCTATCCATTATAAAACTTGACTTTCCTTAGTGAGTTGAGTGAAAGACATACTTATTCTAGAAAATCATTCAATGAATCTTCCATAACACCTTGTCAAACCCAAAAAACTACGAAGCTTAGTTACTATTTTTGGTGAATTCCATTATAGAATTGGTTCTACTTTAGGTAGATCCACCAATACTCCTTCTTTGAAATCACGTATCTCAAGAATTTTACTTCCTCTGACCAAAATTCCAACTTAGACAGTTTAGCATATAATTGCTTGTCTTTCAATTTTTGAAGAATGGTCTAAAGATGTTCCTCATGGTCCTCAAGAGTCTTAAAATAAATAAAAATGTCATCTATAAAAATAATTACAAAATATATTAAAAGGGTTGAAAAATCTTATTTATGTAATCCATGAATAATACAAGAACATTGGTCACACCAAAATATTCATAATGACCATAATTGGTTTTAAATGAAATTTTATGTATGTCTTTTGCCCTTATTCTAATTTGATGATATATTGACCTTAAATTTATTTTAGAAAATATAAAGGTTCATCTTAATTGGCCCATCAAGTCATCTATTATAGGGAGAAAATATTTATTCTTTATAGTGAATTTATTTAATTAACGATAATCTACCCATAACTTAAAACTTTCATCTTTCTTCTTAACTAACAAAATAAGAGCTTTAAAGGTGATACACTAAGATGAATAAACTATTTTTCAAGTAAATCTTTCAATTGTTCTTCACTTATGTTAGTTTCGAGGGTGATGTCCTATATGGTGTTATAAAAATTGGTTCAGT